TGGCTAACCTTTGAGCATACACATAACTGATATTATTTTAGAATTTCTTATCACCCACCCCTCCCCTAAGACTCACTTCATATACAATTCTTAATGCTGAAATTCTTTTCTTTTTTAGGTTATCAAAGTACCAGCAGTTCAAGAACTTTCAAAAGAGAATACTAGTGTCCACTGATTTATTTGGAAGAGGAATGGATATAGAGAGAGTCAACATAGTATTCAATTATGATATGCCAGAAGACTCTGATACCTACTTACACAGGGTATGTATGTACTATTTTACCCAAATCAGCTTGGTGGCTCATTATATAAAAATATAAAGCCTATAAATAATTTCTATCAATAGAGTGCAAACAATTAATCTGTGAAACACTAATTACTAAATAGTACAAAATAGTGCTRATTAAACAATAGAAAACAAAGGAATTTGCATGAAATTGTTCTATTTAGTATTACTAAAGTTTAATGGTTATATTGTTTGCACTCTAACCTAAAACAACCTCTATGCTGATAACTTATTCTAGGTCAAATTGGAATTAGCTTATTAGGTTTAAATTCAGGGAGGGTTTTTTTTKGGGGGGGGGAGGGGGCTGTAGAACCCTTAGGGAAAAAAATCATAATAAAGAGACTGAACTAACTATACTCACAACTGATACCAAGTAGGAAGTTTTTGTTTCTATTTGCTAAATGTTCTACTCTGTTAGCAAAGCATAACAAATACAATATAATAGACTTTATTATATGAGGGAAAAGACGTATTAATCCTGAGAGTTATCTAACATATGGCCCTCAAACATGTTAGGGATTGCTTGTCAATAAACTTTTGATTATCTGGTGTTTTAAGGTTGCCCGTGCTGGTCGATTTGGTACCAAAGGTCTGGCCATTACCTTTGTATCAGATGAAAAGGATGCTAAAGTGTTGAATGAAGTACAGGATAGATTTGAGGTCAATGTAGGGGAACTACCAGAAGAAATTGATATTACATCATACAGTAAGTATTGTGAAACGCTTGTGTATTTAGTGACTAACAGTCCAAGTAAAACAAAAGAAAGCAATGGAATTAATATCTACTAGTCTTACTAGTCATTGGCCTAGAGTGAAGGCATTTAAACCCGTGAAATAAAAATTATTAGTCAACGTGTAATAGTCAAATAGGCACAAAAGAAAACAATGGAATTAGGGTCTAACTAACGTGTATTAGTCCAATATCTATTGCACAGGTTTAGTGACTTCACTCCAGCATAATCACTATTATAGACTATTTCCTAAACCAGTATTCAAATAAATGCAAGCTTTTGTAGTGGCCTTCAAGAGCAAACTTCCTATAACAAATGCATCTGCACATCTGCGTAGCTAATAACTATGGTAGTTCACATGTAATTGCGGATTCGTTACATTTTTTAACCATTGGGCGATTAAGATATATTAATTTTCATTAGGTTACTGTCCCTGATATGTATCTTTTTCCAGGATCAAATAGTTTTTTACTGATTCAGCAGATGCTGGGGGGGGGGGGGGGGGGGGGGGGGGGCGCAAACTTGGGAATTTATTAAAAAAGCATAGTGTGGCAGGATTGTATTTCATTTACATCCATGTCTTGATAAAACAATAGAATACTAGATGGGCGGCATATGTTTGAAAAGATCTATGCTATTTTTAGTACTGCTAATGCAATATTTTTGCTTAATCTTTTTCAGTTGAACAAGCACGCTAAGATGAATGAATGCACTTCGCGAAAGACCAGATACCAAAACTGTCAATACTTTTGTACAAATTTGTCATCGTATTCTTCAACCAAGGCTGAAATCTAGATTAGATTATGCACTCGTCATAAGTAGCAGTTAGACTGCTACAGAACCATTTCATTTTTAAAGAACTTTTTATAATACTTGTATTTCCAGCAAACTATGTTTCCTGTTACATACAGAAGTCTGTTCTCTGGGCTGAAATAGTTGATGTTTAGTAAGATTTTTTGCTATTTTAAGTTTTAGTCATATTAACTTGTAATAAAGTCGGTTTTACCTAAACTTTCATCGTATCTTATTGTATTTGAACTTATTGATTTTTTAAAATAATTAATTCCTAGTTTAATATTATAGTGGCAAATGGGGGTCTTTAGAGTGAAGGCATTTAACCCGTGAAATAAAAAATACTAGTCAACGTGTAATAGTCAAATAGACACAAAAGAAAACAATGGAATTAGGGTCTACCAAAGTGTATTAGTCTAATATCTATTTCACGGGTTTAATGACTTCACTCTACCAACAAAAACAATCTCCGACTGGCATTTTTCCCATCAACAGAAATCCTAGCTTTAAAATAAGTGTAGATGACAAGAATGTTTTGTTAGTAATTGTGCAAATGTTATTAGTRTTATATATCGTGTGTACGGCCAATCTGTGTAGGCATTTTACACTGGTGAGAGTATTATTACATGTTTTACTAGAAATTTTTGTTTGAACGAGAAAATCTTTATCAAAGTTGAATACAAATGAGAGGGAATCGGATAATCCAATAGCGCAGCGCAGCCGTGACGTCATAAAAACGAAGACAAAGGCGAAATTCGGACAAACAAACTTACAAATTTACTTTCAGCAGATAATTTTCACAGCCGATCGCAGTTGATCTTAGTTTACATGGGTTATTATTGTAACTTTAAGTAAAAATAATAAAATCGGTTCGTATAATCCTCGTAGCGGTTAAACAGAATGCAATGTTTGTCCGAATCTTAAAGCTATTTTTAGAATCAGCGCGCTGCGCTATTCGATTACAGGCGTCAACCATTTTTGTTGCGTGAGGTAGATTTCTCTTGGTGTGTGGGACATGTGATATGTCCCATTGCATTCTTTGCTACTGCCATTCGGAAATGAAACTGAAAATACCACCCATTTTTGTGGCAACCCTAAATATGGTCTAAAGCCACTAAGTTAACTCGCCCAAATTTCATGCTTTTCTTCCAGTTTGTAACGATATTGTCAAAAATACGATACGGTATTTTACATTTGCCTCGTGTTAATGCGCCTCAAATGCAACCAGATACAGATCTAGCTTGTTTTTGAGCTTAAACTGTGTCGGAAATTTGACCTTGTAAAAACACATTCCAGCAAGTCACGAAGAAAGCTTTTTGAAAACTTTTATTTCCGGCATCAGAGTATTCTTGTAAAAATAGGCGGTCGTAAAACGCGCATGTGTCTACTGCCACTCTAGATTTTAATTGTTCAAACTTTCAAAGAAGTTATACAGATTATATAAGTTAAAACTTGCAATGTGTCTAAAACTGAACCTTCAGTAAATTTGGTTAAAATTAAATTTATAAATTGTAAATTTCAAGGCACTGAAATTTGGCGATGCACAAAAGTGTTGAATAAATGAAGATTTTTGCGCTGCGGGTGAAGAGCAGTGTGTCTTCACCTCGATTTGCGGCGACGCAAATGCCAAGATCCATGAGCGAAAATGAATCCAAACGCTCCAGTGCTTGTCTAGGCAAGTTGGGAAAAGGCGTTTTTGCAGCAAAAAAGGAAGTCACAATCAAGTTGGGTCACTCTTCGTGTCAATGTACTTGAGGAAAAGCTGAAACCAGTTCAAGTAATTGTTTTAAGGATAACTTCCTGTCTTATTGGTCTCAACTTTTTGCTATAAATTTAAGCGATTTTATGCTTTGCGAACTAATTCTGCTCCGGTATCCACCGCCGCCGAGGTCCAAAGTTTATCTACATACACTCTTCTAGCTACTCTCATCTAAGGAACATGTAAGTTGCTTTCCGACTCATCATTCACTTCCTTGTCGCTTAGCTAAAATCAACTAATCAATTATTTAATTAATTTATCTCAGTTATAAATCAGACACAGCTCAAACTAACATTTATTTTCTTCTTCGGTTAGATTTTGTACCTGTACGCTCAACTGAACATTTGCAAAAGCAATGTTTCCAGATCGAGTAATTTTGCTGAACCTCTTGGCCATAGTAGCCTTGATCACTATGCAGCTTGAAGCAGGTGAATAAGCTTGTCCATTATTTGTTTTCCTCCGTTTTTCGTTTAATCCTCTGTAGAGTAGATACGTATGGCCTAGAAACGCTACCGCAGTTATCCAATCAAAATTTTTTTGGTGATTAATTACGTGGTTTAGTCTTATTTCTTCGTTTCATGCTATTTTGTCTTTCATACTTCTGCCGCCTGGTTTAGTCAGCGGGTCAATTAGTTGAATTGAGTTACATTTTTTACAGTACTTTTATTTCTTAATTTCATGCTATTTTGCCTCATCCTTATTTAGTGCAAAGCAGTGTCCCTGACTATCCTCAGTTTGCGGATCGAGTTCAGCTGAGTTGTAAAACTGGTTACAGACAGACAGGAACAAAGACCTTAAGCTGCACGGGTCGAAGATGTCAACCATTAGTGGCATCCTTGATTGGGTGTAGTGACTGGAGTATTACTGTGCCGGTATGTCAACCAGTAGGTGCTTCTAGTGGAGGTATGTTATATCAGGTTGAATCATTTGTATAGTAAGACCAAACTCCACTTCTGATATAATTTGGGAAGGGCTGAAATTCCCGTCTCCAAATAAAGATTAAAACGCTAGGGCGAGGGTTTGCATTGGATTTCAATGCAAACCCAAGCATGTGTGTTTTAACTGGTTTAAAAAAACCAACCACGCCCTATTTCTATTGTTTGATGTAGGGTTGGAATTTCGATGGCAAACATCTCCCGGGTTTTGAATTGAGCCCCACTCTCCCCTGTCAATATCAAAGTTTTCCATCGAAATCCAAACCCTAGATCAAACAATAGAAATGGGGCGTGGTTGGTTCTTAAATGCATTTAAAAAAATGTAATCGGATTTACCACTCAGTTAGCCATGCCGAGATTTAGGGAAAGACTGGTTCGAGTTCGCATTGCAGTGCATTTTGGGGCGGTTTTAGGCAACATATTTCCCAGATGGCGTCAACTGTGTCCCCTAAAACACTCCCACAATGCACTGCAATGCACTGTGTCATCAGGGATGCCCTACGTATGTTTGGGGTTGATATTAGTATTTTACTTAAAAGTATCTTTTAAGGTATTGAAATTGAAACCTAGAGCTAAAATACTACTTTGGTATCTTTGAGCCAGAGTTTTAATAAGTCCCCACCCCCTCCCCCTCGATTTGTGATGACATTACCAATCGATTCTAGATGAACTATCTTTAGAGTTTAAAAAAGCTGGTTTACATACCCTTTATAAAACTTCCAGCATCTTATAGGGATATTTTTTGAAATCTGTGCTTGAATATAGTTTTTAATATCATTGTTTTTCTTTTCTTTTCTTCATTTCAAGCGAGTTGTCCGAATCCAGGTTTTCCATTACATTGGGGTGCAGCAAAAGCCTCTTATCCTCATGGTCATGTTAAAAATATCTTTTGTAAAACCTCAAACATGGATATGGACATGTCTCCCATCTTAAAATGCGTCAATGGAAGGTGGTCTGGTCCTGTTCCAACTTGTAGAGGTAAGAAAAATGATTTTTGACTTTTCAATGGATGTTAAAAATGCTTCCAAGACAGTAAGAAAAATCAGTATTAGCATTTTCAGATTCTGAACACACCTTCGGCAGAAATAAAGTAATTCGTTTAAAAACAATTTTCAAATTTTATTCTTCTTTTTGAATTTGATAACAATTTCTAAGAGACATGTATATCATGTGCCTTTATTCTATAGATATACGAATTTCAATCACCAAGTCAAGTGGGTGTGGCAACACATACGAGTCGTCCAACCCCCCTGGAGGCGAGATCATGTCACCCGGATATCCATCTCAAGACTACGGCAACGATAAGCAGTGCCATTGGAAAATATCCTCCAATTCTAGGATTGGCCTTTGGTTCAAGACCTTCAGAACCGAGTCAGTATTAGACACGGTAAAAGTCTATGATGGTGGCTCAGCATCTGCTCCGTTACTTGGTACATTCAGTGGAAGTAGGTTACCTCCCTACATTACCAGCAAGTCTAATCAGCTGTACATAACCTTCACCACCGATGGATCACTAGGTTACAAGGGCTTTGCAGCTTCATATCGAGGTATGTCGACAAGAAAATCATTATTTAACTTATCTAAGGATATGTTTGTAGGATTGAATTTTAGTTATTAGTTTCTTGCATAATTTCATTGCGTCTTCCTTTTCGCTTTTCTTTCTTTTTTATGTTATTCTTTTCTTATTTCTAATCTTTCCTTCTTCTGTCTTTCTCTCTTTTTCTGTCCGCTTACTTTCTTTGTTTGTTTCTTTTCCTCCTTCCCTCTCTTTCTCACTCTCTCTTTTTATTTCTCGGCACAATGAATCAAGGCAGTATGTGAAATGTTGTTTCTTTCCTCTCGCAGCTCTAGGTATAGGAACTCTTCGTCTTGTCAATGGTACTTCAAGGTCCGGTAGAGTGGAAGTCTACATGAACAAGGAATGGGGTACGATCTGTGACGATGCTTGGGACATCACAGACGCAGGAGTATTCTGCAGGCACCTGGGTTTCCCAGGAGCAGTTAGTGCCTATACAAATCTCGAATTTGGTGCAGGCACTGGCAAGATTTGGCTCGATGACCACGTTTGTACAGGTGCAGAAACCCATTTTCTTAAGTGCAATAGCAGAAACTGGGGCGAGCACGACTGCGGCCACAGCGAAGATGCAGGAGTCAAGTGCCAAAAGAGAGTCAAGCTGGTCAATGGTGGTGCTAGCTATGGCCGTGTTGAAGTGTACCATGCAGGTCAGTGGGGGACGGTTTGCGATGATGCCTGGGACATGGACGATGCTAATGTGGTCTGCCGTGAGCTTGGCTTCTCAAGAGCAACTAATGCCTATACTGATGCCCACTATGGTCAGGGAACTGGACCGATATGGATAGACGAGACGTCCTGTCTTGGGACAGAGGATTCGTTGTTGTCCTGTGGGTTTCGTGGATGGATAAGTAACAACCAAGGCTGCAGCCATAGCGAAGATGTTGGGGTGAAGTGCGTTTGAAACGCTCAGTTGTTGCCTAATTTAATCAACCAATTTCAAATGAAACTAGTTTGATTTTCTGCTGTGTGCCTTCACTACAGATATAAAAATTCCACCTTGATCAAAATCATGCTTAAGCTTTCAAACTGATTTTCAATTAGTCTTTGAAACTGCTAAATAATCTGTATGGTAGACAAATTTTTTTTTGTTCAAGCTTTGCCTGAAGAAGTGACTTACATTTTGTACCCAAAAAAATATGAATAGTTTAAAAAAAATCTACGATCGACGCTAACATACATAAGCATTTACGATGAAATTACCATGATGTTTGTTAAAAATTGAACAAATAAATTAAAGAGGTGAAAGCTGACACATCATTTGAGAAGCGACGTAAGGATTAAAATAAGGACATTAAAAAGATATCATAAAAGACAGGTACCTCTAGTTGATGACATGGGAAAATCCAACTTACCGACTTCACTTAAAAATTTCACATCCAATCCAAATTTTCTATCTCGCTTCCCCTCGCCTTTCAAGGATGGGTTTGTAAGTTTTCCATCCCTATGTTTCCCTGTCAAGTTAATGCTAACACACACGCACACACATATACAGCTATTTCAGAAATCGTCGCACCAAAAGCCTCAAGCAACAAGCCAAGACCGCAGAGAACGCCGACACTTTTAGCTGTAATTAGTTTATTCATGGTGCATTTTCATTTATTGACTTCACAAATTGCTCCAAGCAAGGCTGCTTGAGATGATAATTAGTGGAGAGCTATAGCCACTTGCATGAACCATGAATAGATCAATTATAATTAAAAGTACCGACGTTCTCTGGAGCCTTGTCTTGTTACTCGAGGCTCTTGGTGCGACGATTTTCGAAATAGGTGTATACTCAGTAAGTCATGTACCACATATTTCTACCCAAACTGGTGATGCTTATTCATGAAACATCCACCACGGTCACGTAGACTGGCGAGTAGTTTTGTCTCCAAGGAACAAAGCGTGAATGACAATTAACGCAGTGTAAAACATTAAAGATTTTTTTAAATGTGGTGAACGGCCTTGAATTGTGGAGCCATTGTTTGGTGGTCACTCAAGTAAGTTCGGAAAAAGTTTATCAATGGTTCCTTGAATCAACCAATAATCATTAAAAGTAACGAGGTCAGTAGAAGCCGAGCCTAATTCCTCATTACTTTATTCGCTATTTGGGCTTTTTACTTGATTGATACAGAAGGTTTAGCTTTAACGGAATCTTTGTGAATTGCTTCGTACTTCTAATTTCAAGATCATTTTTATTACATATTTGGACGCTCACACGAAAACATTCCTCAACTTTAGTACAAGGACAACAATCAACCAAGTGGAAGCCGCATGGACGGTTGTGTGCGTTGCTAATGTGCCAACTCTAGCTCCTCACCTCGCCAATCATATGCGAGTAGAGTAAGGTTTTTCTTAGGTTTCCCTCCCTATGCAAAATCAGTTTCTAAATTGTAAACAATTTGATCTCTTGGGTACCTTGTCAGTTGGTTGCAAAACCTTTTACTAGGTTTCCCATGCATTAACACAAAAAGTGGCAATCGAAAAGATTCAGAGTCTCTATGTTCGGTTACCCACTTTCTTTTCTGTGTGCATTTGTCTTCTTTTTCCGCGTTTATGATCTTTTAGGTTTTGTTACTCTGTGCTCTTTGAATTCTTTTCCAAGACTTGCATGACATCGCATGCCAAGCAAACAAGACATCACTAAACTCCTCCAATTGCACTTCTTCCCAATTACCCTCGAAGCTCGTGTTGACATTCATCAATACTCTACTAGGTTTCCTTGCAGCTATTTTGACCATTTCTGATGTGTCCACTGCGAGTGGATGAATAACGTTATCACGATCTGTGCCTAGAAAACCACTGGGTGATCTACCACAGCTAATGACCATTGGTGGCTGAGTATCTGGAGACGACACCATATGCGCCACTGCTTCAGTGTACGGTTGAAAACTGGTTATAATTTGACGTGTATTGATATCTAGGATAACGATAGCACCAGTGAATAGCCCCAGCCATAATGTATCATTTGCAGGCAACAAACACGTGACATGGCTTTGAACCGACAACTCTATTGTTTGACTCGGGAACAAGTCTTGGACCTCAAATAAACACAGTATTTGAGCTTCCGCGTTTAACTTCAAAACTGAGTCCTCGGTAAGTATCCATATTGTATCTTCTTCCAGTTGCGCGTGCGCTAACGGATAGATTCCCTTGATAAAGCGGTCTTTGTGATCGTAGAATGGTACAAACTGAGAATCCTCCAAAAGTGAATACACAGTGACAGAAGACTTATCACACATCCATAGCTTACTGTTTGTGACCAATATCGATTCAACAGGTTTCTGTGTCAAATGATTTGCAGTCAATGTTCCATTTGTTTGCCTATCGATGTCTGTTACAAAGCATCCTAAGTCCGTACCAATGAAAATATGAGTTATCGTTGCAGCCATGCTGTTTATTGCCGGCAATGAATCGCAGGCCATAGTTGTAAGAAGGGATGACTCGGTTAATGAATAAATCTTGAAGATCCTCGTCAGATTTGTCATTTTCTTCAAGGTAACGACCATTGTGTCCAAATGCGTGCAAATGGCTTCTATTTCCTGATCTTGATTCCGACAAATTTCAAAGCACTGCGTAGAGTTCAAGCCGAAACTTCCAGTAAAAACAGATAAAAAAGTAAAGCCATTGATGGTATGAACGACCCAGAGGTCTTCATTACAGGGGAAAAAGTGGAGGAAGACAACTATATTTGCTGAAGGAAACGCCAGCTTTGACATCAACGCCTGAAATCCTGGATTTTCGAGTTGTTTTTGACATTGAACAGCTGTTGGTCGGTCCTGTGAACTTTGGTTCCAGGAAACGCACATTAGACGTGTTAAGTTAACGAGTACATCCATAGCACCTTCTGCGTGTCTCCAAGATGGCCTCTTTTGCTCTAGAATGCAAGACCTTATATCATTGGATGGTACGTCATTGAATGCCCTTTCCCGAGTGATCATGGCAAATAAGAGTATTCCAAAAGAGTATATGTCGACCTCAACGCTGTATTCTTCTTTTAGGGCGAATTCTAACACCTCTGGTGCCCTGATATGGGTACGTGTGACCAGTGCTCGCATACCATACGGACCGGTGAAATTCGCTGTCCCAAAATCAGATACTTTAACATGAACTGTGTCGTCTTCCTTCAGAGAATAGACCAGCACATTCGATGGTTTTAAATCGCGATGAATTATCTTATGCCAATGCAAGACAGCTAAAGCGTTAGCAATTTCCTTTGCAATGGCAATAAGAACTAAACGCGGGATTTTCTCTGAATCCTTATCAAACAAAACCCCTTCTAAAGATCCCTCGGCAAGTTCCAACGCCATGCATCTTGGTTTACTAGCTACTCCGACCATTTGCACAAGATTAGGATGAACAACACGCCTTAGGACATTTATTTCTTTGCGCAGTTCCCTGAACGATGTCAATTCGTCTCCTTTGAATTCTTTGATTGCCACGAGCTTCTCAGATCCTGTTGATTTTTTGAGAACCGCGCAGTAAACCTGAAAAAAAAAAAAAAGAAAAAAAGAAAACGTTACCTACTTTGTGGGAGTGATAAAATTGCGTGACAAAGTTACGGTGCAGTAATGCCGACATTCGTTCATAACTAATCAGCATGAGCTTGTGAGATGCATAGCGTTGTCACGGTCACGGCACGGTACAGCATGCAAGCAACATTATGAAACTGTGTGCTAGAAACTCAAAAATATATAACCTTGAGATTAATTCAATATATGAGATACTTTTTCAAGGAAAAACTGGTAATGATCCCGCATGTACCCGTTGCAAAGATCCCGTATGTACCCGTTATAAACATCCCGTACGTATCCGTTATGAAGATCCCGTATGTACCCGTAAAGATCCCGTATGTATCCGTAAAGAAGATCCCGTATTTACCCGTGATGAAGATCCCGTATTTATCCGTGATGAAGATCCCGTATGTACCCGTGATGAAGATCCCGTTATACGTACCTTCGTGACAGTGCGATGACGAAATCAATGCGAGATCAAAACGTACGTGCGTTGATTAACCCTTTTGTGACGGGGTGCCATGGACACTTAAGGTTAAATAGTTTTGACCGTTGTGATGTCATTCTAAGGTTAAGTTGGTACATCGTGGCACAACCAAGAATTCATTCCCAAACCAAATTCATTCAAATTCATCCTTGAACTATTGAATTTAAATTCATCCTTGAACTATTGAATTTAAATAACCTTACCTTGCCGAAACTGCCTTCCTTGATGTTACTACTTTCGTCGTAATGGAGCTGATGACGTTGAAAGAGCAGATCAGGGTGAACGTCATGAAGAGATATATCAGGAGCAATATCACTTATTGGTACCGGAGCATCTTTATGTTTGGGGCACTCAATACAGTCCGAATTGTTGGATGCTCTAAGACAGTCTCCTAGAGTAAAGACATTGGAATCCTCCAAGCCTTTGTCCTCACAAACCACGCAGGGAACAAACTGAGAAACTCTGCCCTCTCTCAAGCCATGAAACCATTCTGTGATCAATGCTTCGACATGCTCGATGGTGAACACGAGTAGCCTTTTTCCTGGTACTGACCGTGAAGCCTTGATTACGATACGAGGTGATTTATTGGCTTCTTGTTGAAGAGTGACTTCAAGGAAGGCATCGGGTAGGTTTAGCTGTATGCCGTTGCGCCACCAGTGAAGTATGTCTGCTTCTCTTAAATTTGTTACTGTTGTTACTTCTGGGAATGATGAATGTGGATTTACACGAGGCCTTGGTGAGAAAGACGTTTGGTTTGGTTGGGGTGGTGATACTAGTTTAGTTGCTGGTAGTGGTGATAATGATGTTACTATGGGTTCTGGTTTTGATAGTGATGGTGATACTGATGACGATGATGATTCTGATCCTGGTGGTGATGGTGTTGCTGTTGCGGCTCTTGAAGTTCCTATTTCTGACACTGTTGATGCTGTTGTTGTTGCCGTTGAAGGCGTTCTTACACGTGGAGGATGTGATGGCCAGGGCGGAGAAAGTTGTTGATGTTGTTTAGTTAGTGTTGTCGGGTTTTGTTGAACGCTAAACCTTGGCGTTGGCCTTGTCGTTGGCGTTGGTATTTGATTTGAAGATAATGGTGATGATGGTGATGGTGATGGTGATGGTGATGATGACGATGTTGATGTTAATGGTGATGATGATGATGATGGCATCACCTCTTGGTCTTTAAAAGCTTCAACAATCATCGAGTTTAAATAGTGCAACAGTCTTGCAATAAGCCGACTAAAAAACCCGTGAGGAAGGTATTCCATCTTGTAGATACGTCGCAAACGCTTTTTCCCTTTCATTTTTTTCTCTGGTCCAATCTTCGAAAACTTCGATGGAATAAGGAGAGTATCTTGATCAAGGATGTGAACAACATAAAAACGGCTCAACAGTAGAATTCCTCGCTCACGTGATTTCTCCGTAAAACTTGCTTCTTCGTTTTCGACAAAAAGAGAGTCTTTCCTGACGAGTCCATCTTTGCTACTTTGGCTAGTAATGGCTCGTGTCATCAAGGTAAAGAGCCATCCTGGATCAATGAAGTAAAGCTCGCGCAAGTCTTGGTTAGGGTCATCGAAGTGTAGAATAACTCCTGGAAAAAGATGGTGGTGCTTATGATGATGGTGATGATGATGGTGATGATGACATTGATCAATGACGATGATTGCGGTGAGAGGGGGGGG